GAAGGGCAATTTGGTCTTTCATATGATACTAGAGGCAAAGAATTTTGAAAATGTTCAAACAGTAAAGAAGTAGCTTATATAATCTCTCATACATGCAGTCTTGATGCTGTGTGTAGGATCTCCAAGGAGCAGACCAGGATGAATATTTTATGAATTCACTGATTGTAAAGTGTGATTTTGGACTGGGTTTTTACATATTGTACACTACAATTCACATAATTGAGCTGTTTACTGGAACCAACTTAGCCGTTTCAGCTTCTTTATTTAATTAGAGAGGTTTTTAGCTTTTACTTGTCTGGTAATATGTAAAGTAAATTTTTTGTTTGCGTTAAGAGAAGTTGGTTTTTTTTTTAATACAGTATTTTTCCTGTAAAGTGTTTTGGAACTCTGTTAATTTTAAATTGAAAATAAAACAATGTTCAAATGATTTAAAATAATTGTGTTTAAATGATTAATACAGTTGTGTATTAATTGTACACAGAAGACTTAGAAAATCTTTTTTTCCAAATTGTAAAAAATATATTTTTGATTCTAATATTATTTCACAGAAATGATCCTTAGATGACCATCTACAAAAATAGTTGAAATACTAGTGATTCCGATTTGTAAAAGAAACATGCTTATAATTTTGAAGTGTTCTTTTACCCCTTTGTCTTCCAACAAGATGTGGTTAATCATCTGTCACACATGTAATGCCATTAACATGGGTTACATGCCCTTTATTGCAGCAATCTGTATATCAGAATTTAATATTGATGGTATATTTACCAAGATATTTTGTTAAAACCTAGGCCCATAGGGGATGGGTTTGTGTAACCTAAAATGTTAAATGCATAAAGGAGAAACTTGGCAAATTTTCTTGTGAACTGACTGATTCAAGGTGTTACTTATTTCAATTATGTTTTTTTTACTGTACATAATAACTAGAGAATGTTTTTAATGTTAATTTATAACTTGGCAGTTTACTGTTCCTTTCTCTACTCACAATTAATTAAGTAGAAAAGAAATTGATTTATAAGATTGTTTCTGGAATAAAGGTTAGGATAACAAATTTGTACCAATAAAGATACATAATTATCTATAGCATTTTATAGGTCTTCCCAGTCTGACAGACTTTAAAATCTCTTTGAAAAATTTTGTTAAATCTGAAGTATTCATCTTTTCTTCCCCCACAAATTAATTTCCAAGAAATGGAATTAACTCCAAATTTAGTGAATTTATTGGTTGAATAAAGTAATTAAATTTCATGAACCATGCAATGATCTGAAATATTGTTGTGAAATGTCTTTTGATTGGCCCAGTCATTTTATATGACCATCATGATCAAACTGGTTCAATGAATAGATTAGATTATAATCCATTAAAAGTAGAATTATTTGTAGTTCAATTAAGGGATAGCTGGTGCATTGGAAAGATTATAATCTATTGAAAATATAAGTAGTTGTTCTTAGTTCAATTAAGGGATTTAAATGTCAGAGTACTGTCACTTCTTTGCTGCATGAACAGATCAGAACAGAACTTTTATTTTCTAGACTTATGCAAATGTACGTTGTCTTGTTAACATGTAATGAATACATATATACAACATTATCAGATAAAAATATGTATGACGAGTGTTTATAATAAATATTAAGCTTACAATTAAAAAGTGCAAACTTCGTAAGAGGATAACGAAACTACAATAATTGAATTTCTTAGTTTCAAAGCTTCTACATGAAAATGGGATCAGTGTGCATGGATGTTCGGGTTTCGGCTCTCAGACTTGATATGAAATCGGCAAATGATTATCTCTATTAGGGTAATTAATTTCTTGTGATCAGAATAGATCACCATTTCTTATGGTTAGATTACACTAAAACAGTGTTAAGTGAAACCTTATGAAGTTTATTAAGAGGCCTAATTTTTGTTTGTGAGTAATGCTTTTAATCAAAGTTTACTGAAGATTAAGAACGCAAGACTGCCTGTCTGCAATAAACATAAAAAATAAATGAAAATAGCAGTAAAATGATTAAAGAATAACACAAGATATCACATGAAGCAAGCTTGATGGAATATTTCACATTTAATCTAATGTGTTTTATTATATGAAGAAATATTGTTTCTGTAAATGAAATGGACTTTAATGAAATTATTTTCTAGTGGTTATATACCTGTATGATAGTTTTTGGTGAAGTAAACAGCTCATCACTGTAAGAGATATAATAGAACTAAGCTAGTAATTGGAGCATTATAATATAGCTCAGGCCAGTATGCACTTACAAGTCACTACTGAATTTGATCATCTTAATTTATATAAACGTCCCTGAATTTCATTATTGGTAGTTTTGAATTAAATACCAGAATATATGTCCACTACAAAAATTCAGCAGCATAATTATAACATAAGTAGTAATTAGTCCTAATTGGTTATTATAGATTGACACTGTTTCTAGACAGAGACTCTACATTGTGATGAGAGTATAATACTGGGATCTTTATTGTAGTGTCTGTCTTTTTCTTTTACTAAGAAGTTGATATAAATTGTCACCGGCTTCTTTAATTATTTTATACTGTAGACTATCTATTTTTTAATGACAGTCTGTGCCTATAAAGCTAAATGAAATAAACTGACTTCTACTTTAAGAGCAGGCAAAGGGACTTTAGTTGCACAATGTCATGTTGATTAAGTCGGAAATGCTGGACATTTTCATGGCTAACCCCAGGCTATGAATTACAGAGAGACGTGATAAAATACGAAAGACGCAGTAAATCTTCCTATAAATGGAAGTTCAGATTAATATGAGTTCTAATGCCTGCAGGTTGTACTGTTATTGCTTATGTCCATTACTTGTTGCTTTGGAGATATAAAATTAGAGGTTTTTTTATCTTAAATTCTGTGTGACTTGCTTTGGTCTGCCAAGTCTGAAGGTAAAAATGCTGATTTTAATTTTACACTTCTATGATGCCCAGGAAATGTTGTTTTTAGGGTGGATGATTGCAAGAAAATTTCATGAACATGATAAATGTAATTTTTATTCAAACATTTTGGCAAGATTTTAAATGAAGAATTTGACTTTGTTTTTTAAGATCAAACACTCGGAAATCTTGATGTGCCAATGCTAATACTGTTCTACAATTAGACTTGTCTGACCTACCCCTATACTATTTACAGATATTTTCAGCATTTTGATATTAAAACTGTATAAATTTGCAGAGGGAGATGTCTTGCTTGTGGTGGGGGGGGGGGAGGAGGGGGCTAGGATGGGGGGGCTGTGCAGGGGTAAGGATTGCTAAGTTCAGTAACTAAAGATGTCTGGGATATGAGTTGTTATTAAATTATTACAGTATGGCAGTTTTAAGCTGTCTCATACAGACATCAATTACTCTCCAATTTAATAAATCTCTCAAAATGTAATATGCCTGCTTTCTGTTTCTGATGGCTTAATGTAATTGTTTCCTAGCATGTGTTTTTATTATGATTTAAAAAGAAACAACCAGCAGCAACACATTTTAACAGATATCTAGGAGGTGAATTTGAATTATGGTTATAAAGACCTTCAGATGAGCGAAGCTTTTTTTCTAAATTAAGCTTTTTGAAAAATATATAAGATTTCAAGAAATTAATTACTTGAATCTTAAGTATTTTTACTGTTCTAAAAATCTTATTAAATTGTTCTCATATTTGATTTTCTTGAAATATTTTGGCTCATCTGGAGGCATGCACCTTTAACTAAAATTTGGCTAAGATTTTCACTAAACATTTGTTTTCAACTTTATTTCTGTCAGGGTATATTTGTTAATTCTCTCTTTTAAATGTTTCCATCCTAAGTACCCCCGTAAGATTTTCAAATTTCATGTATTTTTAGGGTGGAGCTCCTCTATGATAATTGTTAAACACATATTAATATTTTATTCCTAATTTCTTTCTGATTTCTTTTACTGTGATACTTAAAATTTCAAATTTCTTTGTTTGTTGTTGTACAATCCTACATAATGTCAGGAAAAGAATCAGTGCCTGAAATTCACCATATTCTGTAATGTTTATGCTAAGACAACCATTGTGATCTAAAAAAAAACTGGCTTTCTCTTAGCCTGCATACTAATGTGGCGATTTAATTCAAAGTGGTATTGTACTGGGACATGTGAGACACATTGATTAGTATTATTCAATACAAACATGGCAGCAAAACAATAGAAAACTTAATAAAACACCAGACAGGTTTGCTGATTATACAAGTGAAGGCAAGCGAAGGCAATCACTGCCTCTGTTTCCCTGTATCTTCACATACACATTGTCATTTATCAGGGGAACTCCGTAAATGAAATTGCCAATTGCCGCTAATGAAAATATTTATAGCGCAAAATGGCAAAATTGTATCAGGGACATAAAACAACATTTACGTATACAAATTGGTTTGTTGTTTCTGGGAGTTTTTTTGTGAAAAATGTATCCATAAATTTGAGATTTCTCAATCAGGAGACTGTCATTGGAAATTTTTGATTTGATCAAAACATTGAAGAATTATAGTATTTATCATGAAGATTTTAGATTAGTTAGTAATGAGTGGCAATTTTCCTTCTGATATAAAAGTAATATTATTTTTTTTTACGTCAGTAAAGACTAGTAAATGAATGTTAAATGTTCATGGAAACAGAATGGAAACTTAGGTCATATTTGCTATATTGCATTACCTAAGTAGATAAATGATGTATTTTTACAACACATTATTTTATGTTCAAATTTTAAAATAAACTGAAGAACAAAATATGAAATAACTGTAAAAATGGCTTAATCTCAATGTAATAATCTTGACCAATCAGTATGGCATGATTGTTTAACTTAACAAGTGTTAAAATGATGGAAGTCTTGTGTAAAAGACTAAGGTGGCAAGAAATATAAATTGTGTTAACTTTATCATCCCTTCTAGTGAAAAATGATATCAATTTTAAAATATAAAGCAGAAAAATAGATTTCATGTAATTAAAAAGGTTAACCATGTATATAATTTGTATATTTTCAGGCGCAGTTGATTGCGCAGTCCATTGGCCAGGCATTCCAGGTGGCTTATATGGAATTTCTGAAGGCCAATGGTATAGAAGATCCTGGATTGATGAAAGAGATAGACTATCAGGAAGTATTAAATCAACAGGCAATATATGGAGAAGAACTTACCATGTTCTCAAACAAGGAAAATCAAAAAGAGGTAAATGAAAAAAAGTCAACCCATAACTGTTATAAACTTTTTGTGATTTTAAACCTTAAAAACTTTATGTATCAAAATCCAGTAAAGTTTTGACTACTACAGAAAAATATCTGAAAGCATTCCCAATCTTGCCTGATGACTGGATACAAGAGTTGAATTATTAAAGGTTCGTTTTTAGAAACTAGTAAGACAGGGCACAGAAGCTTGTTTTCACTGTATTATTTCAAGTTAAAAATTGCCATCCTTTAGTAGCTGATGTCTTAGAAATTGTTGCAAGATACTAAGGTGTGTAACACTTCAGGCATCCTGTTTATAATTAGAATCATAAGAGTACCAACAATCATATGAGCCGCGTCACGACAAAACCAACATAATGGGTTTGCGACCAGCATGGATCCAGACCAGCCTGCGCATCCGCGCAGCCTGATCAGGATCCATGCTGTTCGCTATCAGTTTCTCTACTTGTTACAGGGTTTGTAAGCGAACAGCATGGATCTTAAATCACCTTCACTGATAATTTGTAACCCTCTTCAGTGTGTGTCCATTGATAATATGTCAATCTTTTAGGTGTTTGTCCATTGGTAATTTGTCAGTTTTCTTAGTTGTGTGTTTTTTGATGATTTGTCAGCTGTCTTATATGTTATGTCCATTGATAATTTGTTAGCTAGGTTTGTGTCCATTGAATATTTGCCAGTATTCTTGAGTTTGTGTCCATTGAATATTTGCCAGTATTCTTGAGTTTGTGTCCATTGAATATTTGCCATTATTTAATTTTACCCATGAAATATGGCGCTATATCAGTCAAATATATTTCATATTTTTTAAAAGTAAATATGAAAATATAAATATGAAAGTGGGCGGAGTCAAAACTCATATTTATTTTAAGGGACTTCTTTCGCCGTTTTGTTTGAAAAATCTGATAAATACAAAACAACTTTTTCTTAAATTTTGTTTTGAAAACTATCTAGCATGATAGAAAATGGTCTAACTAAGAAAATTAATCCGAACACCAATATCTTTAATTCAGTAATTAACGCTGTACAGACGTTTAAAGAGTTGTTTACATGACGTCACATTGTAGCGCTAAACAGCGCGTGCTTACGCATAATTTACTGCGCGCTGTACAAGTGCAATTGGTAGCAAGCAAGGGGATTCGTTACCATTTTCTTTGATAATGAAATTAAATAAAAAGGTTATTTTTTCGTTTTTCGTGAAATATGGTTTATATTTTCACTCAACATGATAAAATGCCACATATTTTCACTCGCCGTACCGGCTCGTGAAAATATGTGACATTTTATCATGTTTCGTGAAAATATATACCATATTTCACGCAAACGAAAAAATATCCTCTTAGTATTCTTGAGTTTGTGTCCATTGAATATTTTCCAGTATTCTTGAGTTTGTGTCCATTGAATATTTGCCAGTATTTTTGAGTTTGTGTCCATTGAATATTTGCCAGTATTCTTGAGTTTGTGTCCATTGAATATTTTCCAGTATTCTTGAGTTTGTGTCCATTGAATATTTGCCAGTATTTTTGAGTTTATGTCCATTGAATATTTGCCAGTATTTTTGAGTTTGTGTCCATTGAATATTTGCCAGTATTCTTGAGTTTGTGTCCATTGAATATTTGCCAGTATTCTTGAGTTTGTGTCCATTGAATATTTGCCAGTATTTTTGAGTTTATGTCCATTGAATATTTGCCAGTATTTTTGAGTTTGTGTCCATTGAATATTTTCCAGTATTCTTGAGTTTGTGTCCATTGAATATTTGCCAGTATTTTTGAGTTTGTGTCAATTGAATATTTGCCAGTATTTTTGAGTTTGTGTCCATTGAATATTTGCCAGTATTCTTGAGTTTGTGTCCATTGAATATTTGCCAGTATTCTTGAGTTTGTGTCCATTGATAATTTGTCAGTATTCTTGAGTTTGTGTCAATTGAATATTTGCCAGTATTCTTAAGTTTGTGTCCATTGATAATTTGTCAGCCGTCTTAGATTTGTGGCCATCAATAATTTGACAGCCTTCTTAGGTTTATATACAGTAGTAATGGTCACCCTCATGTATGTACATACTATGATTACATGTCAAGATTCTTTTGTTAGCATGCAGTGGTTATTTATCAGCCTTGTTATATTTTTTTGCTCTTCACACAATCACAATAGATAAATGAAATCACTGTACCCTGTCTTGCAAGCTTTTAAAATTCAATGTGTACCCTGTCTTGCCATTATAAGCACCTGTTTCTTCTGATCACTGTACCCTTCTTGGGAGCCTATATATTTTGACTTGAACCTTTCTTGGAATAACAGGAAGTAGACTTGTTTTTATGTGACATTGACATTTGTCAGATTTCTTAGACCTATTTACATTGACACTTTGTCAGCTTTCTATGGTATGTATAATTAAATAATTTGTCAGCCTTCTCATGTCTGCATGCATTGACTATTAATCAGTCTCTAAAAATCTGCATACAGTGAATATTGACAAACACATAAGCCAGCTTACAGATATCAAAGACAAAAAAAATACAATGTCAAATACTTATACAGGTTAGTACAGTGTTAACTGATAGAAAACCACGTGTCAGCATACACACTGTCTATAGGGGACTATAGCTCAGCATACAAACTATAGGGCATACAAATTTTGTCTATGGGGGACCATAGGTTTGCATACAAACTTTGTCTATAGGGGACCATAGGTCAGCATATAAACTGTCTATAGGGGACCATAGGTCAGCATATAAACTGTCTATAGGGGACCATAGGTCAGCATACAAATTTTGTCTATAGGGGACCATAGGTCAGCATATAAACTGTCTATAGGGGACCATAGGTCAGCATATAAACTGTCTATAGGGGACCATAGGTCAGCATACAAACTGTCTATAGGGGACCATGGGCAAACATACAAATTTTGTCTAAAGGGGACCATAGGTCAACATACAAATTTTGTCTATAGGGGACCATAGGTCAACATACAAATTTTGTCTATAGGGGACCATAGGTCAGCATATAAACTGTTTACATGGGACCATAGGTCAGCATACAAACTATCTATAGGGGACCATAGGTCAGCATACAAACTGTCTATAGGGGACCATGGGCAAACATAGACTTAATAGCAACCAGTGGTCAGCAAACAGTGTTTATTTGCATAAATTTTTAGCATAAAAATAAACAACAGATTATAATACTAACAATCTATTGGTCAGTATACTGTGGATTTTCTTGAGCCATATGCCAATATACATTGAATATTAACCAGCTAGCTGTAAGCCATTATTCAGTGGCTATTACATGTTAACTACGAAAAGGCCACAATGATACAGCCTACGTGACATCCTAGGTTAATCATCAGATCTCTCTATGATAACAGACCTCTGTAAATGCCTTTAAAGAGATCTCTTATCTTGTGCTTTACGAGAACCATCAAGGAAGAGAAAATGTGTTTTAAGAGTAAATTTAAGAGTGTTCCGTGAGAGAATGTCTGGGAAAGGAAACAGGAATGAAACTTTTATAGCCAATTTGACAGAAATTTGATAGCATAGTAAAGTAGAATTTTGTAGCCATTTAGACAAAGAACAAAGGCATTCAGATTTATTATGTACCTTTAATGTATTGTTTTGAAATTTTAATGGAAAAGTTTTGAGAAAGTTTTAGGTTAAATTGTTGTTTTCAGAACTATTTTACAGTAATGTGTATGTTTTGTAATTATATTCTTTCAGTTTTATAAGAATTGGAAAAAGAAATATCATTGTTATATCCCTTTAATACTTTATATATGTAAATATTTTGGAATATTTTGCTCTAATTTGAATGAGTGTACAGATTTATCTACTACTTATTTAATTGTAGAGATATTTCATGGAAATGTGATATCTAAGTCTTAAAAATTTTAGGTGCTATGGCACAGGCAATTACAGGTTTTATGGTCTTGTTTGGGAAAAAAATCATTTAACATTAAGAGTAAATGTTCTATGAATTAAAAACAAACAAACACAACATCTGGTTGTCTGCTATTCACTTGTAAAGTTTGTATTTAAAAGGGAGGATATTTATTTCCAATTCAAGTAAAATTGCCAAATTCTGAGTGTTGTTGTCCAGACTTGTTTATCGAGCACAATGTCTGGTCATATTTATGTAATTATTGACCAAAAAAAATGATTAGATATAGCCATCTGTCAGTTGTAATTACATTAATGATGTCATATTTGTGGGGAAATGTAATTATTTTCTTGCCCACTGCCAAAAGAAATTACTACAACTGTTCGCCTACCAGGATTTGTGTCAAACCTTTTGATTGGTTAATATTGAATATAATATTTGGGCATCAGCCAATAGAAGAAAAGCCCTTAAAAACAAGACATTTATTTAGTTTTCTCTATAAATCATATTATTTTGATATCCTTATGTTTCAGTTTGAAGTTTAGGTTTTTTTTCTCCATTTTTGAGTATTTATTTAGAAAATTAATCTTCTGTAAAAGTTTGAACATTTCAAAATGTCTGGCTCTGTAAAAAAACAAGCAATAGACTTGTATTAATTCATCAGAGGCTGATGTGCTGATGTGTCAAAATAACGTGAAACATGAAAACTTCGGTAAACATACTTTTATCATCAAACTCGAAAATAAATAAATTTTTACTTCCTAAAAAGGGCATACATGAATTTTATAATATTTAAATAATGGTTTTAGAGTATAATAGATGCTTGTTAACTGAAAAAGGTAGCAATAAATGTTAAATAGCTTGTCATAGAAATAGCAAAATGTAAACAAAGGAGTATTTTTTTACTTCCATACAAAATACTAATTGACTTTAACTACTAGCAAAAAAGTAACAGATGAAAAAGATGGCTCAGGTTATAATTGGTCAATGAGTAATTTTTTGGATACTATTAAAGTACTCCAGAAATGAACAGTTTTTGAGAAATAGAAATAAAGGCATTCCTGAGGCAAAATGGGCCTTTAATTTTTCTCCTAGGAAGATGAAAAGACTTGATAGTTGTAGACAGAAGTAAGTATTGAGAAAGAGGACTGTGAAAATGTAAAAACAAAGAGATGATATAGAGATGTCTATCAATCAAACGCTTACAAAATAATACTGTAATGGAGTAGAATGATCTATAATATAGATTGGGATATTTTCCTTCAGGTTTCATTATGTTTTCATTTGATCCACTTCTTCTTTGATTAATATGTTTGTACATTCTTGTAAATAGATCATTTCATTCGGTCATTGATTTCTGTCTAAAATCTGTGCTTTGGTACTGGAGGGAGATATTGTTTATCTTCTTTTTCCAAGTATTTCAATGGCTTTGCAATCAATTTACAGACCATTGTTTCCTTTTGACGTCCGAATGGAGATAAATTGTTTGTCTTAGTTACAGTGATATAACTACTAGAAAATTGTTGATAATTTCTGTTTTTGACAGTTTCTGTATCTTAATATAAAAAGAAAAAAAGAAAAGAAAAAAATGCTGACCTAATGTGTAAAGGGAGGAATTGTATTAAAATCTTGTTTTAAAGTTGATTATTTTATATTTCATGTGGTAATGTTTCAGAAAATTAAGTCTAAGTTTAACTGGTGATATGATAAAAAATCTTTAGATATGAATAATGTTTGTATATATTTTAGGTTATTGTACCAAAAGTGAAGAATGAACAGTTGGGTGTGGTGATAGTGGAGTCCGGTTGGGGCTCAATGGTTCCCACAGTTGTGTTGGCGAATATGAACCCGACAGGTCCAGCAGCAAGGTGTGGTCAGCTGAATATAGGTGATCAAATAATCTCGGTAAATGGAATAAGCCTTGTTGGTCTGCCACTGTCCAGTTGTCAAACTAATATAAAGGTGAGATGTGGTATTGTAAAGTACTTACTTAGAAGTATTTGCAAGTTAACTTAAATATTCATGAGTGATTGTATTGATTTTATAGACAAGATATAGAAAATGTATTTTGAAGAATGAGCACTTCAATTGGCTTTCCAAGTTTCAATTATCAATATGAAAAATCTCACTGCTGAGCTTATAGGCAGAGCATCGAATTTGTAATCCCAGGGTTGCTGGTTCAATCCTCGGGCAAGGTGTAATTTCTCGGGCAAGGTGTAATTTCTCGGGCAAGGTGTAATTTCTCCCTGACTGTTGATAATTGATATTGACTGTAATGGTCATTTATCTGTCATCATTGAAGTACAAATCTTGTAAGATTAGTAGTCAATCTCTTGTGGAGATACTGGTAATTACTGATTAAATATCAATGATGACAATAATGAATAAATAGTTATCTATTAAATATCCAGGAAACATTGGTCAAGTAAATTGACCACTGAAATAACTTCCTAAATTGTAAAATAATTCCACATAACATACTGCGGCTAAACAACGAGATTAAATATTTACCATAGTTACGTTGTGTACATGTATATTAATTATGTACATGATTAATTTTAGGGAACACGTCATCAAACGGTTGTGAAATTAACAGTTGTGCCATGTCCACCAGTTGTAGAGGTACTAATAAAAAGACCGGATGTAAAATATCAGCTCGGATTTAGTGTTCAGAATGGTGTGGTAAGTAGCTATGTGAAATATTCCAGAAATTGTCTTAATGACAAATCTTGTAGTCTTTGAATTATATGTCCCTAATTTTACTAAACTACCCTGTAAGCTTTCCCAATGTTTGATTCTAAGCTTTCAATATGTTGGTTTTCATCTTGTCTCTGAAATAATGCATGAATGTGCACCTAAGATATTTCTCCACCAGTAAAAGTCATAAGTCTACAGATTAATGTCAGTGTGTCAGTACAACTGGAAATCTTAACAAAAAGATAATTATTGAACTTTGCTGGGGAATTCTGCAAACTTAACAGAATAGAAACACAAATCTTACGAGCATATATATACACTAGTTTCAATCATCCTATAACATTAAAATTTTGTTTCTCGTTTCTTAATGGCATTTAGACAGATACATATAGTCCCATTTGATAGAGTTTAAAGTTTCTTGAATCATGTTCATGGGTAACATAAGCCTATTAGTTTATTGCATTTTAATGTCATCACTTAGAGGAGGGGGATATACATGTATAGTGACTATAGTCTGTCTGTCTGTTTGTCCCGATGTCCTTCTGTAGACTGACAAAATAATAGAATGTGTGCTATAGACACATATATAGTTTGCATAGTATAGTCCAAATCCATTCACATGCATTGTGTTTTGTATGTATGTATTCTAGGCTTAATGAGGGTCCACCCGCCCTTTCAGGCACTGAGAGTACGGACCCCATGCATTGTGTTTTATTACCCATCACTAATTTTGTAATGTTAATTTCCCTTAGGCCAATGGGAGTTATTCTTACTGTTAATTCAAGTGTTACATTTTCACAGTAAAAATCTGAAAAATAAAACAGTGTCCCAGTGTAGTATTTGTTAAGGGTGATCAAATAAATTACACATAACTTTGTGAGCAACAGCAAAAATATCATCCCCTGTAAAAATACTGTTACCCGAGGCTAATATTTTTGCTGTAACATGCAAATCTATGTGTTATTTATATAATAACTTTGTTGCAACATAATCAGACTGTATCAGGCATTTTCACTGGTTTTACTATATAATTTAGGATTGAAATAAACTGATAAAATGTGTCCTGTATTAACATAAGCTATTTGGTTATTCATAAGATTTCTTTGAATTAATGAATGTTTGACATATTTGTCTTGTCAACTTGTGTGGTGAAAATAATCATCATAGGTTGTAGAGTGATGACTTAATGTGAAATAAATAACCATAGTTTTTAGTCCCCTATCGGTTTAACCGGAGGGGACTTTAGGTTTACCCTCCGTCCGTCTGCCCGTCTGTCTGTCTGTCCGTCTGTCTGTCCGTCTGTCTGTCAGTCTGTCAGTCCGTCAGTCCGTCCGTCCACAAAACTGGATCCCGCGATAACGCAAAAAGTACTGAAAATATTTTTATGAAACTTGATATATGGATAGATGGCAGTATGGAGATTATGCACGTCTTTTTTTTTCCTTCCTATGTTGAAAATTCTGGTTGCTATGGCAACAAATAGTCTGAAAATATGGCAAATTTAACACATAAACTGGATCCAGTGATAACTCAAAAAGTACTGAAAATATTTTTATGAAACTTGAAATATGGGTAGATGGCACTCTGGAGATTATGCACGTCTTTTTTTTTCCTTCCTATGTTGAAAATTCTGGTTGCTATGGCAACAAATAGTCTGAAAATATGGCAAATTTAACACATAAACTGGATCCAGTGATAACTCAAAAAGTACTGAAAATATTTTTATGAAACTTGAAATATGGGTAGATGGCAGTCTGGAGATTATGCACATCTTTTTATTTTCTTCCTATGTTGAAAATTCTGGTTGCTATGGCAACAAATAGCCTGAATTTCAAGATTTCTGATTTAAATTTTTTCAGCCTTTTCACTATATGTTCTTTATTTCTTAAGGTGTTTACTTCAAACTTTAAATATAAGTTCCTGGTCATCAACCACATCATATGTGACAAGGTTTATAACTCTAGCACAAAAAATATTAATATTACCTCCCTTGAACTTAGATTTTTTAGGGGAAAAAATGTTGTCTTTTTAAATAACTTCTTTATTTCCTAATGTATCTACTTCAAACTTCATATATATGTTTCTTATTATCACTCGACATTTTTGAGAAGGTTAAATACTCTAGCAAGACTATTTCCAGAATTATGTCCCCCTTGAACTTAGATTTTTTTCGAGAAACTGGTATTTTCACTCCAACTTCTTCATTCCTTATAGGATTTACTTTAAAATCCCACATCGTAATAATATGACAAGGTTGTATAAACATAATTTCCTTACTAAGCATGGAAACTTAACACATTACTGTGATATAAACAAACTTATTTTATTATGTTTTGTGGTCGATATTTTCAAATACAGACTTCATCCTCAAATTCATTATAAATGGCAATACACAGGAGTGTATGACAATTAAAGAACTTTTTGAGGGACCGGTAGGGGACTACTGTATTGCCCGCAATACTATCAAATGCTTGTTTATATCTGTCATTGATAATATGATATATTGTTCCTTTGAATGATTATATATATTGTTAGCTTGTATGTTTCAAAGAAAAAGTCAAGTTGTTAAAATTGCTGTGCTGTTGTTGTCATTGTCCTCGTGCAGTTTAAGGGTAGAATTATATATATATATGTATATATATATTACAGATATGTAGTTTACTGCGAGGTGGTATAGCCGAGCGTGGTGGGGTACGTGTTGGACATCGAATCATTGAGATCAACAATCAAAGTGTTGTTGCAGTTCAACATGAAAAAATTGTCTCCTTACTGGCAAACTCAGTTGGTGAAGTAAGTGAATATATAAGTCAAGTCTTATACCTGCTGAATTTTATACTCGACTTGCCTTTGAATTGAATTTTAATTGTCTATTCTTACCAATGTAGGCTAATTCAATATCAAAATACTGTATTTATTTTGTTGAAGGACTTTTTTTTGGCATGTGTTAACCCTTTCTAGATTTTGGATACTATGTATGTTTTGAATCTATATTAAATTTCCCAAATTTTTGTACTTAAGGAATTTGAAAGGAAAGACCTTCGTCAGTCTTAACCAATTTTGTAGCTCATGACATATTTTAAACATCAAGGTCACCATCTCTTAGTGCTATTGCTCCAGGAAAAAGAAATACCAGTCTTTTCATTTCAGGAGTCTTAAACTTCTACTGTTGACTGATCAAATTCTAATATTTTGATATTTGAATCCCTTAAATTTATCGGAGGGCAACTGCATATAAAAGCAGGTCAAGTGCATTACATAATGCAGGAGAATAAAGATTACAAAAACAAGCTATGTTCCTGAAGGAATTGTTCTTGTTGACATTTACAAACCTAAAGTTACATAAGTCATTTAATGTTTCCATAGCAATAAAAACCTCGTAACACAGCAGTTCTACAGACAACCTCCCTAACATATGTGAAATCATCTCAAATGTCAACCTGTTACTAATTGCTGATAACAATTAGAGTCAGTTTAGTTTCTCATATAATTCATCATTAATTTGCTTCTAGTAAGTGTGGTGACATATTAAAATATTGGTCTATATGACTTTTATTATGATTGTCTGTTTGAAGAATCTTGTCAATTTTAGGCTCACCTGAGCACATCTTTATTTCATGGATGAGCTATAACGATAAGTCACTTAATTGCCTGGTGCCTGTGGCATTGAACATGAAAGGAGGTCAGAAAGTCGGTAACCAGGTCAAATCAAGGGAAAACTTCTGTAATATTCTAGACTTGTAAATCAATTGATAATTGATTGTTTCAGTTATTGACATACATCAAAGAAAAATCTTGAATGCTCTCATTCAAATTAGCTTGAGATTAAAGGTAGACTAGTAAAAACAATTTTTTTGCTCAACAATGTATAAAGGAGTCTTTAAGGTGAGCAATAAAAGGGGCAAGATGTTCCTCCTGTATGCAAGTGTTACCTTAATGCGTGACTTCAGTAACTGCATACATAAATACATAAGGGAATTCATTGTGTCTCGATGAAGAAGACATAATGTTTTAAATTCTTCTCTAAGTATCAACATGAATATAATGAAATATGAGAGCCTTTAATTTTTGCAGTATTTAACAACGAACTACAAACAATTTTAATAAGACAGTATAACAGAATGGTAATAGCCTGAAGAAGGTAATGGGATTGACATTCAATAACTTCAATGGCACCAGACATTTATTTTGTGGATAAGATGAGTGTTGAATATGACAGAATATTTATTTGTTCTGTTAAAAGTTTATGAACAGAATATCTATAATCTCTATTAAAAGTTTATCACATTTCTTAGAAGTGCTCTGAGGTGAAGTAAATATAAAAGGACATTAAGGCAAATAATTATTTCTCTTTGTCAAGTTACCCACAGACATAGGATTAGTGTTACTGTTATATTGATTTATATACAAAAGAAATGATAGCCAGGGGCAAAACTTTTGCATGCATATAAATTGCACCTAAGTAAAAAAAATAGTTAACTAGAATTTTCAAGACAAAAAATAATCAGATTCACATGAATTTGGGATTTTGAATCAGTGTAAATTCAATACTGATTTTATTGAGCAAGATGAATAAGATTTTATGATGCTTGCCTCTGGCGAGCATTATCATACTTCATTGAACAAGTTTGATGAGTTTAGTAATAAACCTACTCAAATACATCCAAAAAATTATTATTTTCACATACCCAAAATAATATTTGCTTACAGTAAAAAGAAGAAGAATCATTGTCTGATTGATGCAACATTTATAACACTTTTACTCTATGTATGAAACAAAATTTAATGACATCTTATTGCATAGTTATCACACTAGTTTTATGTTGTTTTTATTAAATTGCCTTTTATTTTACCATTATGCACCATAGTTTATGTTATAAAATTAATTCTGTTATCGTTGTGTCTTTGGTGTTATTGATTTATGAAAACATTAATATTGGATTAATATTTTTTTTTTCCAGATCCATATGAAAACAATGCCAACATCTATATTCCGACTGCTCACTGGACAAGAAACACCACATTATTTATAGTAGTAGGAATTGTTAGATATTGTCCCGTGTACCATTCAATATCTGCTCACCCTGCCATGATAAATACAATATTGCCCACCTAGAGTAAAATATAGACCCGGCACTAGATCATACATTGATACAACTGAAATCCGATTTGATGATGTGTCATACTGAAACAGTGTATGGAATAGTTTTCTACGGGGGGAACAAGGCTTCAATTCTCTTTGAATGTGAGAAATGACGTGCATTTAATAATGACACAAGCTGATGTGTTCTTCACCATGAATTATTCAATCTTGGGCGATATAGAACAGTTCATTTGAGACGGAAAACTTTGAAGATTTTCCTTTGATGGAAAAGTCAGTGTTGTCAATTCCTTAGCAGGACATTTCTTCAATCCTTGATGGTGAATTGGCATAAAATGGAAGATAGAAAGACCATTGTCATGTTTTTTGCCCTTTTTTTTATAGGATATTGCGCAATACTGTGTAACATGTCACCTGGTGGGATAATGCATCATTCCTTTTTGTTTTCCAGGCATATAAAATTGAGCATTCCAAGATAAAAAAATCTTCTCTCTTTTGATAGGGCATTTGATGACCTAAACTCGGGAAATAGAACTGTTTCAATAAAATAATAATGTTGTTTAAGACATTGTCAATATGTCATTCAATAGAACAGTTTTATTTGAGGATGATAAACATTTGAAAACACCACGGCTTTTCAGAGTACAGGCCTAAGTGACAAATTTGATAACTTAGAAATATAGGCATGGTGTTTTTACTGAAGATAAAATCATTTTCTATTTTGAAATTAAGAATTTATTAACTAGCAAGAATATCATTTTAAGAAATTTATCTTCCCACAGTAAATGTCAGCATAAAATTTATTTCCAGCAGAGGAAAAAAAACAGGTAATGAAAATGTCAAGGAAATTTTGTTATGTAATATAAGCAAATAAGGACAAATTAATAATGTTAAACATTCAGAAGGCTGTCATAATATAGGCTGTATACAATGGAGAATGCTGAACTTTTATAGACATATTGGTTAGATTTGATTTTTAGCTTGTCTGTTTTGAAGAAAAAACTTAGCTACTATCAACATGAAACTTGAAATACTTGCTTTTCATGACAAGGTGCAGTTGTTAGACAAGGGGCGTAATATTGAAAGCAATATTTTTGGAGTTATGCCCCTTTTTTAACTGGAGTTATGCCACTTTTAACTAAGAATTTTTGTCAAAATTAATTGTACTTAACTTATTAATACTGCATGCAGTTCTCTTGTTAATGACATAAAATATTAAAGAAATTTCCTATGTTCTCACATGACAGAATTTTATTTTTTAATTTCTGAAGACATATATCAGACAGTTACTGCAAGTTGCAATCAATGATATTTTAGATTGAACATTTCAAATAGTTACAGCTTACACAGTTATGCCCTTTTCATGTAGATGAAAATTGGTTGGAGAACAAATCTAGTCACTGAATACTGCCATTTTGTTCCATTCTTGTAAAACTAGGCGGGTGATAATCATGCAGAGTAAAAGGTTCAGAATGTGTTGATTAGTCTCTGAGAGATACAGGGAATTAATAGGCCAATGACACTTAATATTGTGCAAGGTCACTGTAGACATACATAATTTTTGTGTGTGTGTCAAATTTTAGGTTACAACTCTACAAAAAAAAAATTACACAGTATTGCATACATGTAACAAACAATTTTCTGTGTTGAATAAAATGATATTTCTGAACTTAACTATGTCTAGTTTTGTTACAGGATATAGTCAAGCATGAAATGATAAACTATTATAATACTAGCAGGTAATTAAGCATTAAAGTACATTCCAGATTATAATAACAAACTATGGGAGAAGTTTTGCTTCAAGGATGTCTAATAATATGATACTTTATGTGTTGTACATTATACTGAGGTCATAATGTTCATATTTGAGCTTTTATATTAAAGTATTGCTACCTTATGTCATTCACTCAGTCTAACTGACTATATATTCTTGGCTGCTTATTTCATAACCCGCTGTAATTAAAACTAAGCCTTTTCCACAGGCCTGTCTGTACATCTGTGTAGCCTGACCAGGCTCTATACTTTTGGTAACTCAGTTTTTGTATTTTCATATTGATATCCCATAAATGTCAAATGGATTCCAAAAGCAAACTGGGCAATTTCATTAAGTCCGCAGGTTAAAGGTTAAATATTGAAAGACCATAAATAATAAATAAGGCAGTTGTAAATCTACACCCAACATTTTATGTCTATAATTAAATTTATCATAGTAACGGTTAAATGACACATTCCATTGTTAGAGGGTTTAAATAGATCTGAATTTTTAGCTTAGCAATTTAATTAAATTGTGTTAAAGATCTCAGTGGATTCATATAAAGCTTATGATAATAATGCTATGGTTTTGGCTGTTTTGGATTTTGTAATATTATAAAGGATATTTTATCAATAATAGCTGTATAAGTCAAAACAATGGAGGAATCTTGTTCTCAATTAATGTGTTATTATTATATTATGGTTGTATTGGAATGAAACTATAGTCTTGTGTTTTCAATCTCGATATTGAATTAATTCTTCTTCTTTTTTAACCAGTCTACAAAGTAAGCATTATATTTGTTCATTTCTGTCAAATTTGAAATTGATCATTGTTAATGGCTGAGGCTGGTTCCCCTTTTTTATGCATTTTTTTTCTTGACTTTATGCTTATATATTGGCTCCCTGTCATATATTCAGCCCATATAGACCATATAGATGCTTTTCATATAGCATTTTACTTGGCCACCTTTTCAATAAATTATATGCTTAATATGGATAAAAATCTCTCACAATTATAACATTGTTATAGATAAGCTGTTAAATTCTTTTAGATAATAGTTCTATAATAATGTTTATCTTCATGTAAGTGAAATAATTTGACAATTCAACTTAATCAACTGTTTACATTGTTTTTTACTCCTGAGCAGACATTGAAGTATTGGTTAAAATAAGTGGTGCATTTTCTTTGTTTGAATAACTAATTGTTCATGAACAATGTTTAAGGTAATCAGTGCAAGTTGTGATTATAACAAGAAACACTGATATTGTCTTATTCAACTTGATTGTGTTTTAAAATGAAACATGTTTTTGAGGGAATACAAGATAAAAAGAAATCAGGTTTTGATAAATTATCTAGTCATTGTTACTGTACTGAATATAGAAATATTCAGTCTGAATTTTATTTAGCATGAGATTGTGATTAATCTCACTACAACAGGAGAGGACTTGAGCAGTTCTTGGCATTATCTATTATTTCACATGATCTGCCAATGTGCTAAAATTGATAAATTTGTAAATGTTCCATAAATTGAGAAAAATAACCTATGTGTATTTGTATAGTTTTGATTTACAATTTTGAATGAAAGATATGTTGTGGTATTATAAAATGTTTGAAGTTTGTTTACTGTTATTGATGGTGTACTATAATGTTACTAGTGATGAACTGAATAATGTACTCTCTCTCTCTCTCTTGTAACATAGTAGGGCTTGTGGCAGAAATAAAATATTTAATTGAAATCCAAAAGTCACCTTTGTACTAGGCAACATCAGAGTTCAGCTTTACTTACTCGTACATATTTCCAAAAATATATTCAATTATAGCTCCCTTTAGCCACCCCAAAGATCAAAATGTTAATATATTAATATAGACAAATACAATACGCTCTATAAATAAATTGGTCAACTTTCTGCAAGGTCCCTTTCTCTTTATACATTGGAATTAAATATTAGGGAGAGTTAATTTTTCAAACGTTTTAATTCACTTTTCTTGTGTATAGTGATATATTAATTTGTTGTGTTGAAGAAACTTGTGCAATATTAGAAGAGTTTGTATGAAAATGTTTTGATTTTAACTGTTTTAATAGAATAACAGTGCAGTGTGTCAAAGTTCACATGAATGTAAATACAGGTCAATATGAATATTGTGTATAATAAAGTTGTTATAAATACAGAATGCCTTGTGTATTAACTTTTTCAATTGGAGTGTGAAAAGTTAAATCTCTTTGTTATAAATGTATAAAAATGTGCAAAAATTCTGTGTTTGAAGTACTTAGATTATAATATATTACTGTCTGTGTTCTGTGTGATTTATTTTACACATGTGTATGTATGTATGTATGTTTATATATGTGTTATGTTATGTATCAGAATGTGTCACACACATGTTATGATACGAGAATTGGTTTTTAATTTATATAAACTTACATGTAATGTTCATTTCAATACTACAAAATTTAATAAAAGCATTATATAATATATCATTATCATGCAAATATCTTTGATCTATTGTCATTCATGAACTGCTAGTATTACATAATTGTCAGAGGTCAACTGTAGAAATAATTTATTTATAAGTCACATTTTGAGGAAATATTTCTGATCAAGAAATCCCTGATATTTAGTTAAAAACTCACTATGATAAAGCAATATGGTTTACTGGTTATTCCAAGATCTTAGTGAAGTCAAAGTAGGTCAAGGTCATGTGAAGGTTAGTAAAATTTGAAAATGAAAATTTTAAATATTATCATGTTTATATTATAGGTTAAAAATATTGACTTCCAGACAATTTTCCTTTATTTTTTGCAAATTTGATAAATTTTTGGATGATATTTATTTATGACCTTTTTATTTTGAATGAAGTGCTATTATTTCTGCTGATATTCCCCAGATATATGTGTGCTGTAATTAAAATGGCTTTAAAAAGCATAATTGTAGTAAAATTAAGCTTTACATATTTACTAATATGATTTTAAGCAATATTTATTTTGTAATTATCAGTATGTATGTATAAATGTAACACATGAGTAAATGTAGCTTTATTAGCAATATAAACATGTTCCATGTAACAGATATACATATTTGTATAAAATATACAAACAGTATTGAAATATATCTTGTAATTTAAGGTTGTTAGGAAAGGTTTTTAACTTTCATGAGTTAAAACTGTGTTTCATTTTAATCTCTTTATCATCTTATATACAGACAATTGTGTTATAGCTGTTGTAGCCATAAACTTCTTTCAATTAAGCCTGGTCATATGCATTTTGTTAAAATTTAAGGATTAAAAATCTTGTAACAAAATTTTTTTTCAAGTTTAAAACTTATAAAACTACATTCTTGTAACATTGGTTTTGATTGGATAACTCTGATGTTTATATAATCTATATAAACAGCTGCTGTAAGTTTATGAAGATATTTCTCACTTTTCTGCAAATATATGACTTACTCTGTATCATAAATTTGTTAGATAAATGTTTTTGACAGGTTATATTGCCATACATAAAGTGATGGTTTACAATATAACACCTACCTAGCATCTTTGGTTATATAAACTTAAACCATTTATACTGGTTGATATATCATTTCCAAAAACTATTTACAACAATATACATATAAAATAGACAAATGAGAAGAATATGTTGGTATAGCCATACAGAATTTGAGATTAGGAGTTAACTAAGTACAGACTAGAATAAATCGTGACTGAGGTGTGAAGTTTAAAGGAGATCTGATTTTATCATTCTTAGAGTAATTCCTTTTGTTGTCTGTCTAGTAGAACTAATGGGGGATTATTTTAAGACAGATATACAGCATCTAGGAATTAAGTTCATGCTGTGTATTTAGTCATTAAAAGATTCAGGTTACTGTTTCAATTTATTAAGATTTTTCTCTATACCACTTTAACTAGACTCAAGTATAGCTTATAATTTAGTGGCTACTTTTCTTGTGAAGTAAGAGGCTTAACTCGAGAACATTGAAGGCATCAAGTATAGAAAATAAATTGCTGCTGGACATGCTTTCTTAATATTATATGAGCTGCTTAAATGTTTAGGTGTGTACGGCAAAGTTCTGACAAACAAAACATTTTTTTTTAATGTAATTTATTTTCAGAATGATATATTTATATCAATTGAGCATATACCTAAGATAAAACTGTGAGCATATTGTGAAATGATGATAATTTATATATGAAAATCTTCTTTATTTGTATGAGGTATGACCATTCTGCATTTAGGATTGTAAAGAACATCACCAGTTTTATATTGATATACTGTACATGTTCACATCGCGTCAATATGTGTCACTACCTCATTGGTCATACAGTATATCATGTTAAATCCTTTTTATCATCTCTTTGATGTCAGTGTTATAAAATCATGATTCTTGGCCAATAGAACATTGTAATGAAAATAATAAGTGAAAACATAAATTTAATTATATCATGTTGAATCCTTTTATCGTCTTGTTTAAATTTATGATTTTTTCGTCAATAGCACATTCATTGTAATTATAATAATAATAAGTGAAAACATAAATTTAATTGTTGCAGGTGTTTGAAATTGTCTGGTTACAGTTACACTAGTGTTATATTGAGTGTCATCAAGTGATTGTCAGGTTGAAGATAGACTGGTTCAGTTAATGTCAATGAAAGCAAGCTTTGTTTACCAGTATTGTATGCTAACTGTATATTACATCTATTGTGTTCACTATACCATGCTTTATCTAGTGAAATAACAGAGAGATTTAGTAATATGTACACAAGTTTCTTTACTATTAGATAATAAAATATTGAAAAATGATCCTATCTTATGGATTTGTAGAGATTTCATAATGTTACTTCTTAAACTTGACAACTTTGTGTGTTGAAATCTGAAAACTTTATCCAAACACACGGAAATAAGTCTTTGTCACTGAACTTTTTGTCAAACAATCTTTGTATTTTGTACTCAGTAATGCTTAAGTTATATTTAAAGAAATCCACAAATAACTTACAGAGTAATATTTATCAGGAACTTCGTTTAATCATATATTATAATATCATTGATGTATTTTAAGTGCATGTACTTAAAGTACATTTTTTTCATAGAAATACTAAAGAAATTTTTGAAGTGTATGCGAAAGCTTCCTGTTTTACATCATGTAGTGAAATTATCGTAAAGGTTTATGATAATAACCAGGTATTTTATATGATACTATTTTAAAGTACAATAAAAATGTATTAATGTATTTCTGTACTGGGTATATATGCTAGATATATTTATATCTACAATTATATTGTATTGCATCATTTGTTTTACCTCCTTTCACAGAAAAGTGATAAAAATGATGAAAGAAAAACCTTATTAAATCATACACATGTATTGTATGTACCCATTTGATGTTTGTTTTTTGAAGAGCAATAGAGCAGTCACATGATATGTCACATGGTTTGTAATATCAATCAGGATATGCCGTGTATGTGTAATATTTGTGTGTACATGGTATAGCTATATACATGAATTATGACATATATTGTTCAACACTCTGCTTTAAATGTCTTTCATTTCCTGTGAAATAAAAAAGAAGGAAAGAAGATTTTGTATCTTGTTGTTCTTTCATACATGGCTATGATGGCTTGACTGAGATCAATTGCTGTAAGTCAGATTTCTTTGATGCAGCTGATCAAATCTGCGATATT